AATTGTACTCCACTCGGTCCAATTACTATTACTAATCTTGAATGAGAAAAAAATTATAGGCAACTGAAATCAAATGATCAAAATGAAATGTTAATGTCTAGCTGCTTACTTGGGTATATGTCACAACAGAATGTTTCCACCAAATCACGACGCTGCACCAATTCGTCATCTAGAGCTGTAGCAAGTTTTTGATATGTAGCTTCTTGGCCTTGCTTTTCTTTCCACTTAAACAAAGTAGCAAGAGCCCTTTCAAAAACATCATCTGGATTATCGATCTCGATTATCTTCAAATGCTTCTCTTTGAGTCCAACAGCTCGGCCCAGTCTCTTCCAGTCTTCGGGTATTTCTTCTGCAAGACGTTGAAGTTCCTGTTCCGTTGGAGCCCCCTTTTTTATCATCCAGATGTTATTATCTGTTCATGAAAGCAAAACTGGACCTTAGTAAGCCAAGGTGTAGTTATGAAGTGCACGTAATATTACAATAAGGCTAAGTGTTAGTAATAAATGGGAAAAAAGCTTTTTTTTCATCCCAACTGTTACAACCCATTTAACTTGTCCCGTCACACTGTCATTGTCCAATATTTTAGTATTTGACCGGGCATTGACACGAATGACCCCGCTTTTAATTACCATGCCGAAAGGTTTTGTTGCAATTTTATGACGTACTTTTCTAAAACAATTTACAACTTCAAAAGTATTTGCTAGTTCGATTTCTTTTCCTTCTAATAATTATTTCCTTCTCAGGAGTAGACGCTAAGTCGACTCTTAATCAGAATTGTGATTTGTGGTCTTTGGATTTTTTTTCTTGACATTTTCAGTCGTGTTATAAGTTTCTTATTAATCAAACTTGCTCTGGACCGTATTAGGAGAATATCAGCCCTTACCTTTATTCCCCACCCTCGCTACAGTCGGTACGTACTGCCAAGACCTTGCGGTCGGGCCAATATTCTGTATATTAGTATAAGTACTGTACGGCCCTCCCTCGCACTTGGATAACAAGATAACGCTAAGTCAATAAGTTCTATGAATTGGGACTACTGCAGTAAAAGTAAATATTTTCTATGAATATCAAGATACTGATTTTCTAACCCGGGGCATCTGAAGAGAACGTCTTAACCAAGGCAGGGCGCTGAACCAACTGGTCATTGAAGGCTGCAGCTAGCTTATCGTAAGTGGCCTTTCGGCCCATCTTTTTCTTCCACTTTTGAAGTACAGCAAGGGCGCGCTCATACACATCATTGGGTATATCAACCTCTATTGCCTTCAATACTTTTTCTTTCAATCCTAATGCCGCACCAAGTCTCTTCCAGTCCTGCTGAATGTTATCGGCAAGCCTGGCGAGTTCTTCCTCGGTTGGTATTCCCTTTTTCAAGGGCCAAAATACAGTTGCTGTCAACAAAATAAGTAAAATGACTGGTAAATAAAAATCACGGTTTTTTTTTTCCACGAGCGATGTATCCAGGAAAAGGAAAATTACGCACACTTAACCAGCGGAAATATATTTATTTCTCATCGGGTCTGGAACGCGTATTAAATTGATTATTACACCAAAATAGTTACAACGCTGGTAGAGTTTCATTTCCGCTTGCTCAAGCTCCGCACACCGCCTCACTGGGGTACTCTCCGATAATTTCAGTCGGGGGGGGGGG